AGAGAACTATTTTGTCACTAATAACCCGAGAGGGGTGAGGACGTGACTTCAAACATTTAATTATAGAGAATTATAACAGAGGTCTGTACCTGAATCATTATTATAGGTCCACCGTTTCCTCGCAGATAAGGCCCGATTAATTCCAGCAGTTCGTTTAAATATATTTTCACGTATTTCGTGTAGCCTGCAAAACGAGGGAGAAGTTTCAGCTCAATTATTGTTAGAAATAATTTGCTGGTAAAAGTCGTGGGGAATCCTTACGTGGATCGTTGCTACGCAAACGTATGTCCGGTGCTTGTGATAGCAACCAATAAGGAAGTCCGCCCTGCATATAAATTAAGGGAAAAATGTGTAACAAAGAGCAGGAATTATGTTAAACTTAATTTTAGTTGATTATCGTTAAATTCGATATGATTACTTTCGTTTCGTTAGTAGAGAAGAATATAAAATTCAACGTATACTTACAAAATCCCTTTCCGCGCAAATGTAAGGGCCTGGCCTCAAAAGCACGAGCAAATCTTCCTCCTGAGCGATGTTCAAAAATTCCATTAAATCCGCATCACCTGTCCAGTGCCATTCATTCTCAGACGGTTGATGAAGACTCCATTCCACGTATCTACAATACAATTCCATCAGGGAAATGTTCGTCTTTGAAATGAAAATCCACAGGAAAAGTAAGTTTACTAGTGAACTTTCTTAACTTGTTAATTAATCTTCGAGTGGATATAATATTTTAATTGAAAACGTCGAACTTGAAGAGAAAAAGAAGATAGAATTTCGTAGCTTTCTAATGAAAATAATGATTCAATTACGAGCTTTAAACTTACTGTCAGAAGGAGAAGACGTAAGCGATGATTTCAATTATTTTCAATTGATTTCGATTCATTTCAAGAAATAATTATTTCAAATTTGATCCAGCGAAAAATGAGATGAACAAATGATTTTTCGACTCACGTTGAAACGGCGTTCAATCCGGCCGCTCTAATTTTTCTTAAACGATCTCTCCAATATTGCCTGGGCGTGCGGAAGTAATGAAAACTGCCGGACACGTACCGGAAGGGTTTTCCATCGAGCAGAAATTGATTGAGCTCGTAATCGACTTCGAAACCGAATTTCGACCCAGTCCCCTGCAATTGCGAACGTTCGATTTTGAGAATTCTCGCGCGCTCTCTGCGTCAGATTAATTGTCTCTTTTGCCCTTGTTGCCCTTCGTTCATCGATTCAACCAATTTCACGGGCCACGCAATTTTCCGAAACGTTTTTTCTACGTTCGTTTCTACTACGTAAATTGGGTTTTCAAATTCTGAGCAAATCCAGCGAGTGAAAATTTTCACGTTTGATTACTCGACGTTGGAAGAATCTTGGAAAGCTATAACTGTATTTTTTCATTTGATACGATACGTAAATGCAACATAACGCTATCAGACGTTAGCCAAGAAATACTCAGGTTCAATTATTGAAATTGCTATAATTAAATGAGTCATAATTTCCTTGTGAAAGAAAAAAGAAAAAGCAAATGATCAATCATGACTATTTGCTTCGAGATACTAAAAATACATATATATATATATATATAAACATAGTTTTATATATATATTATTTTATATATATATAATATCAATCTTCAATCATTATATATAAAATATATATAAAATATCATTCATTTGCTACGAGATACTAAAAATACATATATATATAAACATAGTTTTATATATATATTATTTTATATATATAAAATATCAATCACCAATCGTTATATATATAAAATATCAATCATGACTATTTGCTACGAGATACAAAAAATACATATATATATAAACATAGTTTCTAAGGATGAATTATTAATTTAATAATTAAATTTCTTAATTAATTCTTAAGCACAGTTTTAAAAAATTCCTCGGTACTTTCATTGCTAAAA